ACTCTTGGAAAGTCAAACTCTTGCTTTCTGATTCCAAAAATTGACTAAGAAGAAGGAAGTAACAGTTTCCTCTGGCTTCTAATCTGAGAGCACCTGCAGCTTAGAAAAAGCATTCAGTAAATTAGAATTTTACCCCTTATGGAAATACAGATTAAATATGGATTAAATCCGTAAATACATTCAAGTTCATAATTGACTTGGTTAATTTTATCTTACAATGAAAAAGAATAGCAAATCATCAGCAATGTTGACAGGAATGAGTTGATTTTGGCTACAATTAGGATTTGTCTAAAATTTATTAGAATAAATTGTTGATTGAAATAAAAGTTTGTACTAGAAAAGTTTAATTCTAGTTAATTATTCTTAATTAAATTTGGCTTGCTTCTTTAGAATAATTAAGAGACTAAAGGGTCTAAAAATTATTTTAAAACTTCTTATGAGCTTGAAATGCCTTGATGAGTTAGAATACATCAGATCCATATATATTATTTTCCCTCCAATATATATAATATTGAAAAAGAAAAAGTTAATGGATTCAGAAACTGTTTTTTGATTATAAAAGTAATTATTAAGGCATTCAGAAAATTTCGAAGTATGTGGGACCTCCTGTAAAATAATTACTTGGAAGCTTCTCATAAAATCTTTTGATGTTTGGGAATTAATCAGGCACTGAAAGAGGAAATAGCAGCTATACTCAGTTTGAAGATAAGGTCCATCAACATAGACAAGTTTTGAAGAATACAGAAGACTGTTATAAATGACAGCCTTATGCTAGGGGGGTTATGGATATTACTAACAGTAGAATCTGGCCAATGTTGATTTTTGTTTTTTAATCACAGAACATCTCTCCATTTTTCTTTTGCCTTATCACATGTTGATATTAGATACTATTAAATAGAGAGCATTGCCATAAAATCTTAAAATTCCCCAAACTAAAAAACTTGTTTTTATAGCCAGTGTAGTGCAAAACACTCATTCTAAATATAAGTAAATATGGGGCCAGAGAAATTAGATGATCAAAAAAAAATTCATCCACTAGGTTATTATTGGTACTAGAAACAGTATCTCTTTGTTTAGATTATATAACTTTTTTTCTTAGTTTATATTCTAAAACTTTTTCCCAAAACCTCTTTCCTGTCTTTCAGCAAAGCACTACACACACATAATTGAAAGATCAATTAGTACAAATGGACTTCTAGCAAGTAAACAGCCATTCCTCATCCCTCAGACTTCTGCATCCAACTACCTTGTGGCTTCTTTCCATTATTGTCATCGAGATGTACAATTCCTTTTTACTTCTATTTCTTTGTGTGTGACTTATCCCTCCACATTTTTGGCTGTCCTTAGGACTTTTCTCTTCATTGCTAGTATTTGAAATTTCATGTGTGTGTGGAGGGGGTGTGACAGGTGGTTGCTCTTTGTTGGACACAATGCACCATTTCAATAAAGGGAATCTCTGTTACTTTTTTTCTGTAAGATGTCCCTCCCCTCTATTTAGCTCTGCTATTTTCCAGAGCTGTTGCTATTCCTAAATAAATGACAACAGGAAATGTTTCACAATGGCTTTTGATTTCCAAAAGTCTCAAATTCCACAGCAAAGACTCCATCTAAGGCAATTATTTATGTACTGAACATTTGAATCAAGATATGATATTTTCCTTAAGTAAAAAAAGTTGACACTAGTATGTAATGATAAAGTTTTTATACCACAGTAGATAATGATTTATAACTATATGTTAGGACTTTTCATATTCCATATAGAAACACAGTGATTTTGTAGCTGGCATCAGCTGGACCCTGACTTCAGATGAATGATCTGGAGGTGATCATATTTTTAAATAGGAAATCTGTTTGAATAAGCTGAGTGATTAACGTTCAGTGAACAGTGAGTATTCTTAACTAAATCAAAGTAGTCATGAAAGAAAGTATTGTAGGTAATTCCAAAAATATTTATCAAAATTAAATGGTGAGGTTGAAGGTTGTAGTTTAGTACCAACTAGTGTGAGGTCTGGGAGCATTTTGAAATGGTGGAGGAGTTATTTCTGAGGAATTAATACTGATGGGAAGGATGGAGGAAAGAGTAAAAATGTTACTTTTGGTCCCCAGGAGTAATGGGAGTCCTTTTCAGAGAGCATGGGAGACACATGAGTCCTTTGCAGTCCTCTTGTCTGCCTTTGAGGGTGAAATGAGCGTGTGAAGCACTTTGGGAGGTGGCCAGACACACAGCTATGCTTGCTGCAGAGCAGAGCTTCTTCCTGGTGGTGTAGCCCCAGTCATCATGAGCCATGTCTGAAAGAATTAATCACATTTCATATGCAAGCATGCTCTCTGTCTGACTGTGCTGTTGTTTTTAATGAGAGCATCATTGACAATGCTTTAACCTGATAGCCCTGCCTAATTTTGTTCTATGTAATAATGCATGGGCTTGAGGAGAAGGCAGCGTTGAGGGAGAAGGCAGCGTTGAGGGAGAAGGAGGGAGAATGGACGTGTGAATTAGGGAAAGGTGTCTCTTCCTTTGGAGCATAGATGGGTTCAAAGCCCTCCTCATACTACTAAGCATTTGGCTGGACACTACCAGTTGTGTGTCAAGCCTATGTGTGTGTGTGTGTGTGTGTGTGTGTGTGTGTGTGTGTGTGTGTGTCTGTGTGTCTGTCTCCAGTCCTGAGCAGCAAATCCTTCTTCCTGTGGTAGCATGTTACTCAGAACCTTGGATAACCCGCAGCCCTCCTAAAAACACAATACATGTATGTTATAAGAAATTTATCTTGATGATTGGTGAGATGGTGGTGATTGAAACCAGCTCATTTCCCATTTACCACTGAGGCCAGCTCACCTTTGCTGAAGAGGGTTCTTGACTCTTACTTTGTAGCAGGAACTCCTAAGTTAATCAAGCCTTTTCAGGAGTTTCAGGCTGAAAGTCAAGATCTCTCAGGTTAGATCCAATGTTAAAATTTGAACTGGGCAAATTCTCATTAGAGATAAGCGGCCAAAGTCTGTGCCGATGGAATCTAATGTCTTTTAATGTTGACTTCAATGCAGTAAAGTCCTTGTGAAGCCATTTAACTGTAAAATTGGGCCTTGGGGAGGCAGTGTACTCTCTGAAATTAGAGGTCAGGAGATTTGGATTTGATTTCCAGCCCTCTGCCAGTCAGTCAGCCACTCACTTTCAAGTGACAAGCTTTAGGCGAGTCACTTTCTGTCTCTGTTTCTCGATTTATTCATAGGGATTTATGTGGGCCTTAAGGCCCACTGGGAAATGATTCCTTTTTCAGCTAGTGCTTGGTTTGTTGAGTATGCTTGTCAATCTGGACTTTAATACACCTATGGTTTTGGATTAACTCTATTACTTCTGCTAGAAATTAATGCAGAAAATTCACAGTTGATTGACAAGAATGAGAATCAGTTCGAAAGAATTCAAATGAAACTGAATCCTTTATTACTAAAAGAATGCTCAACTCAGGTAGACACAGATCACTCATTAGCTATGGCACTTAGAGACAACTTTTTCAAAACGTATAGCTAAAACTGTCCCTGCTTTAAGTGCTAGACAACTTTTTGAAAATACACAGTAAAAATGGGGTGTTGTGGTTTATTCCTGTAATCCCAGCACTTTGGAAGGCTGGGGCTGGAAAATCACTTGAGCCCAGATGTTCAACACAAGCCTTGGTAGCATGACAAAACCTGTCTCTACAAAAATTATATAAATTAGCCAGTATGGTGCCCTGCACCTGTAATCTCAGCTAGGTGGGAGGCTTCAGTGACCCATGATTGCACTACTGCCCTTCATCTGTCTCAAAACAAACAAAAAAAGAGTAAAAAGCCTGTGGGTTGGGTAAATTTTTTTGAAAAAGAAGGCATAAGGATTTGGAGACTGTTTAGATGTGGTATATGAGGGAAAACAAGAAATCCAAATTGAGTTCAAAATTTTAAGCTTAAGGAACAGGCAGAATTATCATTGCTAGCCAGAAGTCATGAAGCTATACCAAATGAATGAGGTGTCTGTATCTAAGTCAGTTCAGATTTGAATGTCAAATCTGAGGTGAACACTACAGAAACTGACATGTCTTGAAAGTTGTTGAGATACCAGGCTGCACATGGCTCAGGATAAAAGACATTGATCTGGATATAGTGAATTAACTCCAGAGAAATATTAACTCCCCAAGAGTGACCAGCACATGAATGTTCTAGTAGACTTTCTTGCTGATAATTCTCTTCAACAGATAGAACCTACTTTATTTTTTTTTTCTCACAAACTATTAGTTGCATTGTGAGCAAATCCTAATGTTAACTGAATAGGTTTCAGCAGGTTTAAATATTTTTGTTATTTTTAGTAAAAGAAAATATTGTGAAGCATAGTATTAGGAAGTACATAAAAAATAATTTCCTTTTGATTGCTATAAAACTTCTTGTTTCCATAAAGTTTCTCCTTATCATGAGTTGTGTTTAACACACAATTATTCAATCATCTTGACTGATAAAATGGGCTATGGTCAAACAAACCAAAAGAAGTTAAACCAGTCCAAATCAGGCAGGAATATTATGCAGAGTTGACTTTTCAAAGCAGCTTGGCTGAATGTTGATGGAGGTGCTGGTTAGTACAAAGGAGAAAAACTATGTATAAGGAGGGCCGCACATAATAGAATTCTGCTATTACCAGTCTTTTCAAATACACAATTGAATGAGCTTTATCAGAAGCAAGTGTTTGTCAACATTTTAGATGTGAAACTCAAGAAATGCTTGATTTTTTAATAGTGGTATTCCTTAATCTGGTTACAGGCTATAAAGGCGATCATCATTTACACGATCATATTCTCAAACAGATGGTGAGCAAATGGAAACAAAGGACTGATTTGATGTAGCCGGTAGTATGATAATTTGTAGTTAAATGAAAATAGAGAAGGATTCAGAGAATGAGTAATTTCACAGTAGCCAGTTGATAAATTATAGACCTAGAAGAAGCAATTTCACAAGATTAGAAAAGTAACTTTGACACAAATGTGCAATAAACATAGAAAATTTAATGAACGTATTAATTAAAATTATTTTAGTAAAGGGAAAAATAGAAAATAAAGTGAAACATTTCCTATAAAATATTATTAGAATTAATGCTAAATTGCTATAACAAATTTATGTATTTTTAAGAAAAATTTCTTCATATCCTATTTTCACTTTCAGCTTCTTTCTCTTTCTTTTGGTTTTAATTAGGCCTTCTTTTGATTTTCTTTGGAAGAAACCTATAAGACGAAGAGGAATAAATTAATGTGTGACAAAGTAACACAATGAAACATTTTATCTAAAATCTTCTCAAAGTATCTTTTAACATTTAAATCCAAAAGATGTTACTGATTTAAAAGCCTTTAATTTGCTTCTGTATTTGTGTAGAACAATCTATTTTTAAGGAAATTACTTTGCATATATGAGTTAATAAAAATGGATAAGCATGCTGTTCATTTTTATTACTAGTTCATTTTCTGTTACAAATCCATGCTACCTTTATTTTTAAAAAGTAGAAATGTGGCTGTATATGGCTGATGGAGTTACAGATAGTATTAGTTTGCATTTTTGTACTCTTCTGACTCTATTATAAACATGCATCACTTTTATATTTCAGAAGACATCAATAAACAGGTTAACATTTTGTGCATTTCAAGAAAACTTACAGGAATTGGGTATAATCTTTTAAAATAAATGCTTAGTATTTCAACATTAAAAGAATAACATGTTTAAATTGTTTTAAATTGATTCTTTGTATATGAAGACATTAAAAAAAAAATTCCAGTTATAGATCTAGCAATATTATCTAAATGTATTTGAAGAGGACATTTATTAGCTGGATCATATTTTCTTATAATAAAGATAGTTAATTTCATATTTTAATAGATTATAATGTCAATTCAATTGCTATCTTAAACCCTAATCAATCAATGGGAAGAGCATCTTCTACACCTTTTTTACATGACTTCCGACATTCTTTTTTGGAAGTAAAATTGTTCTCATTTCCCCCGCATCCGCTGTACTTAAATGGGCGGCATTTCCCAATGACTGAATTGTAGTAGAATCTGGTCTCATTGGCGCGACACAATCCTCTGTCTGCTGGATCGAGACACCATGAGGGACCCCGAAATTCTAAAAACATCAAGAAAACATGGTAAGCCATATATGAAAGTGAATTCGAGGCTTTCATATTGATACTCTTTATAGATTAGTCTTGTTGCATGCATATGTAAGCAGTAATCTGAATGAATAAAGGGATATTCAATAAAATTCATGCATTTCAATTCTAGGAAAATGCTTAACAAAATCCTGTGTCCTCTACATTGAGATCTTCCTCCAATGAATTAAAAAATCTCATTTGCTAAAGAGAAGTGTTATGATTATTCTTTATATGAACAATTTGTACATAATAAAAACCACTATTCAACAACGTAACTGCTGAAAATTTCTTACAGACACACACACACGTTCATTTACATACCGTTTGTTCACAAATATCTAGCTTTAAAAAATTCTAATAAGCAAAGTTTTTATTTGTGATGTAACAAAAACACCGAAGCTGAGGAAGTTTCTTGTCTTGAATAACACATCATGAATGATGTAATACAATAATAATTTAAAGTGAAGGAATTAAGTAATAACAAGTTTTAAGTTTCAAGGAATGAGTCCAGATGAGATGTTTGTCTTGGTAGTAATTTTTTTCTCATAAATTGAAGCTTAGTTCTAGATGAGTTAAATGTTTTTACAAAGGAAGCAACATTGCTAAAACCAGTGAAATGAAAGGTTGATTTGGATCAGATAGATAAGCTGGTTTGTCAATGGGATCAATCAACGGTTTTCAAAAACAAAAGAGAAAAATACAACTAGGGCAATAAAAAGAACACTCATTTGCTAAATCAAAGAGAAAATTAATTTCAGCTCAATGTTAGTTTTTAGTTCTTTGGGAATTACTGTCAGTGAGAGACACTGGGTGCTCTTCAGTAGCATAGCTAAATTGCTTGATGTTAATAAATCTGTACTGCAGGTAAGTTGTTGTATGTCACGGAATCAATGTAAAAAAACTTTAACGACTTTGCCAAATGGTGAGATGTGATACAAGCAAATACAGATGAGGAAGGTTTGCTAAACGTCCAATCCTAATAGAAAACAGTACTTTGAGGAATCCAGTAGTTAATGAAGGTGAATAGATTGTGCATTAAGCAAGGAGCTGTCTTTTGGCAAATAAACCCCAGATGAACAGACTGTGAAGAAAGAAGAAAGAAAACAGTGAGAAAAATTGAAAAGAAATCTTAAATTGATATAAATATATATTTTTTTACCACCTCCTACCTTCTGGTTATTTAAATAAATACTAGAGTGTCTTGATATAGTAACTCAAATAACAAAAAATATTCTGGGAAATATGAAGGAATTAATACTATGAGAATAATTTATGAGAAGAAATCTGAGATGGGTGATATTTTTGTTCCAAAATTTAAGAACTATGATCAAATAAAGAATCTTTAGTTTTGCTTAGGTCTTTGACTAGTTATACATGCAGTAATTTTTTTATTTTTATTTTTTGAGATGGAGTCTTGCTCTGTCACCCAGGCTAAAGTGCAGTGGTGCTGTCTCAGCTCACTGCCACCTCCACCTCTCAGGTTCAAGCGATTCTCCTGCCTCAGCCTCCTTATATGGAGTGATTTTAAAGAAGACCTCTTAGGACTTGTAAAATAAAAATATTATTTTAAATCATATGTCACCCTTTCTGTTTTACATTATCCTATGTGGGGGTTATAATGCATGATTTTTAAGAACAATTTTTGTTGTGTATATGTGAGCTTTACAAAATGATGTTATGGGATAGATATAAAGAATAAAATAGTTGCTATAGTGAAGCAGATTAATATATCCATTTCTCACAGAGTTATATTATTTTGTATGTGTCAAGAGTAGCTAAAATCTACTTATGTAACAAAAGTCTGTAACAATATATTTTGTTAACTGTTGTCTTCATGTTGTACATTAGATCTCTAGCCTTATTTATACTACATGCCTGTATTTTGTATCCTTTTACATAACGATATGCCATAATAAATCCAAGTTAAAATGAGTGGTGAGAATGTGTGATAAATATTCTAGAAAATGTTGACATTTCCAGTCTTTAAGAATCATTTATATAAGAGGAATTTTGTAGTGGTCTAGGTGAGTTACATTGTAATGAAGTTGTACTATTGTACAAACTTTTCCAATGTGTGTAATATGGACTATTACCCTTGCACAGTATAGAATATAAAATGATTATTAATTGCCAACACTTTGATATCATAAGCTTCCAGTTATCACCTATGTTTAGAAACAAAAGTGGTGTACTAGATGCAATTAGCCTAATTTGAGAAACAGAAAACAGAGAAAATTGCTATCTCTTTTTTTCCTGTTTAAATACCCACAGCAACTTCCAAATAGATGTGTATGATAAAATGATGTATGACTTATACATCAATTTCATTTTAGCATTTTGTACGTAAGATGTATCTGCCCATAGTAAGCTGCAGATAGTATGTGTGAATGTGCTTGTAAGCTGTATCCTTCTTTGCAAATGTTAGCTTTTATGTCTTAACAGCAATGCCAAATGTCAAGCCCCCTTATTCCAGAGCAGAGAAAGTTTTCTGATGACAGGGAGTAAACTTCTCTTTTCCCCATAGATGACCTGTAATAAACATGGCCCAATCATAACACCAAGGTTATTTCAAAATGAGAACAAGCTAGCCTAGTAAATCTGGGGCTATAGTCCCTACATTGGAGATACGAGAGGAGGAACCTCATAGACCAAGAACACCAGGTGAACGCTAGAACCATATGGCCCTTTCCATTGAAGCCGAAACCATGGAAGATATACTACAGATGTGGCGGAGAGACATTACTAGCTTCCGTCTTCCTTTGACCATCCAGTCACCCAACAATGCCTACCATTTACCAAATCCTTTCAAAAGCTAGAGGAGAAAGATTCCCCATAAAACCACATGAGGCAGGGTGAAAGCAGGGGGTTGGTTTGAGAGCAAACAAGACAGTTGACCAGAACAGATGCCAGCAGAGAAAATTTCACTACTTAAATTACCCAACAGACTTTTGACCCAGATCAACCATAAGGGTAAGGCTCCTAACCTCTAGAAATGATGGTATTTTGATAGTGTATTAAAATTTGAAGTTAAACGAAAACAGAGAAGTATCCAGAGAATGAGAATGAATAATATTGTATTATATGTAGCTAACTTTTAGAAGTTTTTAAAAGATGCAATAAATTATTGTCAATTGAGGAATCATAAGGCAATTATTCTTCAGAACATAAATTTTATCTGTTATGTAAACTAATTCATTTCTCCTAAGATCATTTTAACTGTGAGCAGTAAGACTATCATTGGGTTGCTATGGCATAAATCACAGTAAAATTTAAGTAATTGAAGCAAATGGTTTTTAAAAAATATTTTAGCTCCATTTGAATTGTTTTCACCTCTTGAAGAGAAAAACTTGATAGATAGATGGGCACTCATCTATTTAAAATCCAGACTTTGGTATCTACAATCAAAGAAAATACAAGGGTTTTGTGAAACATGACTTTTTTGGTTGAGATTATAATTATTCACAGAAATTGAAGATAGAATAAAAAAGATACTAACCTGACTTTTGCTTTTTTTTTTCCTGAAGAGAATTTAATAATCAAATGCGTTCTGTCTTGATTTGGCCATTAATAACAAGTTGGGTACCTTTCTCTAGAGGGTTTTTGATAAGTTTCAAAATTCAGGATCCACTTTTTCTTCTTTCTTTTAAGTCAGAAACTATCATGATCCAGTGTGACTGCTAAACTGTAAGGCTGTGCTCTAAATTCAGTTTTACAGGCAACATTGTTAATGTAAGTTTGCTTTGAGATTTATATAATAAACTTTGACTCTTATGTTTACTTTGAATCCTTACTGTGGTATCTTTTTGATGATTTCCATTTGGCATGCCTACTTAGGCTTTCGTTTTACTAAACAAAGTAGGTTTTATGAAGTATCTTACAACTTGTTAAGTAGATTTATTTTTTGTCTTCTGAGACTTTTTAGGAAGTTGGTTAGCAAATCTTTTTTTAGGTTTTACTTTTCTATAATTTTGTATTAAAGAGAAATATATTTACTGTAAATTATCTTTGTAAAATTTTGAAATAATATGCAAGTATAAAAAATGTAAAAAATTTATCAATAATTTGATTCTTGTCCTTTAACCACTACCAATGATTTATATATCTCCAAATTGTTTGCATATGCAAATATATTAGCATAACATTCTATATTTATTACTATACTTGATAATATTTTGTGGCTGTGTCTCTGCATTTTTATATAGACCTCACTCTTTTTAATGTATGTACAGTACTTCATTTTATGAGTTGACTATGTAGTCAAATGGACATACAGATTATTATAACTCTTTTTTTTTCAGACAACAGTTCATGAACACCCATGTATACTGGTTCAGGTGCTTCTAGAGGAGATATTTCTGAAATTAGAATTAGGCAAAATCTGTATTTAATTTATAATTTGGTAGATGTTGCTGAATTTTTCACTAAAAGATTTTACAAATTTATGTACCTGCAACGACATTTAAAGTACCTTCATCATTAGCAAAACATGGACCTTACTGCTATACATTTATCTACTATTCAACACTTTGTTTCTCCCCATACCAACAACAGTAGAAGAATATGACGTGGGACAAGAAATTGCTTATAGCTTGCCAAATGTTCTGTGAAATATCGTTTACATAACGTCTCAATGCCATGGATTTGAAGATGCACTATTATTTTATACACTGCTCATGAAGACAGAAAAATACTGCTGGTTGTGGTAGCTTACACCTGTAATCCCAGCACTTTGGGAGGCCGAGGTGGGTGGATCACCTGAGGTCCAGAGTTCAGTATCAGCCTGGCCACATGGTAAAACCCTGTGTCTACTAAGAATACAAAAATTAGCTGGGCATGGTGGTGCACACCTGTGGTCCCATCTACTAGAGAGGATGAGGCAGGAGAATCACTTGAACTCCAAAGGTGGAGGTTCCAAGAGAGCTGAGATTGAGCCACTGTGCTCTAGCCTGAGTGACAGAGAAAGACTCCATTT